GCAAGCTCGGGGTCATCGTCTCTGCCTACATGCACTACAGCAAGATCTCTGCAGGGTGAGACTCCCTGACCCCTGACTGGCCCCTCCCCAGTGACCTGCCTCCCCCAGTTGGCCGAGCCCGCCTCCCGCCTCTGTGTTCAGAGAGCCATTTACCATAAACTTGGCCTTTCCACCTCCTTTTTCTCGCTTGTACCTCCCCCACTGTTCCCAGCAGAGGATTTTTATCAGTTTCCTAGGGCTGCTGTAACAACGTATCACAAACTAAGTGGCTAGAGACAACATAAATGTGTTGTCTCCGTTCTGGAGGCTGGGAGTCTAAAATCGAAGTGTCAGCAGCACTGCACTCCCGTGGAGACTCTGGGTAGAGCCCTTCCTTGCCTCTTTCTAGCTTCTGGTGGTGACCAGCAGTCCCTGGTGTTCCTTAGCCTGCAGCTGCGTCACTCCACTCTCTGCCTTGGTCGTCACATGGCTTTCTTCCTGTGTGTGTGTCTGTCTGTCTGTCTCTTCTCTTCTTCTAAGGACACCAATCATATTGGATTAAGGGCTCATTCCTCCTCCAGTATAACATCTTAACTAATTCCATCTGCAGCGACCCTATTTCCAAATAAGATCACATTCAGAGGTACATATCTTTTGGGGAGCCAAAAACCCAACCTATAGCATGGTCTTATTTCCCCATTTTACAGAGGAGGAAACTAAAACTCAGGGAGCACTTGCCTGAGGCCCAACAACTAGTAAAGTGACCGTCTGTGGGGTTTCTAGTCCTCTTCACCACCACTCTGGGCTTCCTCTAGCCTTTGGGGGGATCACACATCTCCTCCCTATCCTGGGGCTTAGGGTTGAGAGGCCAGCTTGGATATCAGCCCCTAATCCCCCACGCTGGTCCTGCTGTCTCCAGGGCGGACCAGGCATTGGCTACGCTTACCATGAGGAAGTTCTGTGAGGACAAGGTGGCCGCGGAACTGCAGCCCTCCCAGCGCCGGTGAGCAGCCCCGGTAGGGATGGGTTGGAGGAGCAGGCTCCCTCCATGGCTGCCAAGGCCGAGATTCTCTCGCTCATACAGCATACCTTAATGGAGCGCCTTCTGTGTACCAGGCACTGTCAGGTGCTGAGAATTCAGAACAAACACGGTCCTTGCTCTCATGGAGCTTGTGGTAAAGAGAGACTTGCGGGACAGTCAGAACCCATCTCTGTGACGGGAAGCAGAGATCTGGGGGAAGAGAATTCTAGCCAGAGGGGCCAGCAAGTACAAACCTTTGGGACAGCAAGAAGGATTGAGGTTAGATGCAAGGAAGAACTTTCTGGTGAGCTGGAAGATGTGAGGGAAGTGCTAAGAAGGGCAGGCTTTCCAAGTGGGGGGGAGGCGGGTGGTGGTGAGCATGGCTGAAATGATACAAAGGGGCCTCCAGAGGAAGGGGCTTATGTTCTGACACACCCCCTCCCAGATATATCAGCTACTTCAGCGGCCTCCTGTCCGGCTCCATCAGAATGAACAGCAGCCCTCTCTTCCTGCACTATGTGCTTGTGCCCGTGCTGCCAGCCTTTGAACCTGGCACAGGTGAGTCTGCCTGGGGTGTGCTCCACAAGGAGGGCCGTCCCCACCCCCTCCATTCAGCAAGCCCCACATGCCTTCTCCTTCCTGTCCCTCCAGGCTTCCAGCCCTTCCTCAAGATCTACCAGTCCATGCAGCTCGTCTACACATCTGGAATCTAGTGAGTGCTCTCTTCCCAGGCCCCTGCTGCCCGCATTCCTGTTCCTCCAGCCTCCCCAGACACAGGGTCTTCCGGTTCCTGCCACTGCACCTAAAAACGTTGGCCATCATGGAATCCATTTTACGGTTGGAGAGGCTGATGTTCAGGCTAAAGGTCTCTCGCCCAGGGCTCGGACTCCAATCTCCCAAGTCCCTCCTGACTCTTCATAGCTCCCCACCCCAGCCCGAGTGCCTCTGACTCAGCCTGTGCCTCGTCCTTCCTTCCTCAGTCACGTTGCAGGCCCTGGGCCGCAACAGCTCTGCATCAGCCTGGAGCCAGCCCTCCTCCTCAAAGGCGATGTCATGGTGAGGGGACCATCCTGGGAAGGGGCAGGGGTCCAAAGGGTGGTGGTGTATCCTGCCTGCTGCACAGTCTCTGGGAACTCATCAGTTCAAGGCAGATTGGAGGCTGGAAAGCTAGTCCCCTAGATGGGGGGAGGGGCCACCTTGAGGTTGAGGCCCGGGCAGAGCTGCGGCCAGACAGTCCCCAGGGCGGAAGCACAGAGGAGACGCAAGTGGACAGGAGGGCCTGACCCCTAGTCTCCCTTCCCTCATCCAGGTGACCTGCTATCACAAGGGTGGCCGGGGGACAGACCGGACCCTCGTGTTCCGAGTCCAGTTCCACACGTGCACCATCCACGGACCACGGCTCACCTTCCCCAAGGACCAGCTGGACGAGGCCTGGGCTGGTGAGTTGGAGACAGATGTGGGGGCTGGAGCCCAGGTGAGGGTGGGCAGGGGCCCGGCTCCTCACGGCCACTCCCCGCAGATGAGAGGTTCCCCTTCCAAGCCTCGGTGGAGTTCGTCTTCTCCTCCAGCCCTGAAAAGATCAAAGGTAAGAGCCAAGCCTTGGGTCAGGGCTAAAGGCTGTCTGCCCGTTTCTCAACACCTGGGCGGCCCGTTCCACAGGCAACACCCCACGGAACGACCCCTCGGTCTCTGTTGACTACAACACGGCAGAGCCTGCCGTGCGCTGGGACTCCTACGAGAACTTCAATCAGCACCACGAGGACAGTGTGGACGGTGTGTGGGGCAGGCCCAGGGGCGGTGGGAGGTGGAGGTTTGAGGGGCACACTCCTTCCTCCCAGGCAGATCCCCCTCCCGAGGGACACCCCTGAAGTGGAGTCCCCTGCTCTGTTCCCTCTCTTTGACTCCCTCTCTCTCCTTTCTTCCTGCTTGCCCTCCCTCCCTGGTCCTGTCCCCACCCAGGCTCCCCGACACACACCCGGGGACCCCTGGATGGCAGTCCTTACGCCCAGGTGCAGCGGGCCCCCCGCCAGAGCCCACCGGCGCCCTCTCCAGAGCCACCTCCACCCCCCATGCTCTCTGTCAGCAGCGACTCCGGCCATTCGTCCACACTGACCACGGAGCCGGCTGCCGAGTCCCCTGGCCGGCCACCCCCAACGGCTGCGGAACGACAGGAGCTAGACCGCCTCCTGGGAGGCTGTGGAGTGGCCGGTGGGGGCCGGGGAGCCGGGCGCGAGACGGCCATCCTGGATGACGAAGAGCAGCCGCCCGTGGGCGGAGGCCCCCACCTCGGAGTGTATTCAGGCCACAGACCCAGCCTCAGCCGCCACTGCTCCTGCCGCCAGGGCTACCGGGAGCCCTGCGGGGTCCCCAATGGGGGCTACTACCGGCCGGAGGGAACCCTGGACAGGCGGCGGCTGGTCTATGGGGGCTATGAGGGGCACCCCCAGGGCTACGCCGAGGCCTCTGTGGAGAAGAGGCGCCTCTGCCGATCCCTGTCTGAGGGGCCGTATCCCTACCCCCCTGAGCTGGGGAAACCAGCCAACGGGGACTTCGGCTACCGTTCCCCAGGCTACCGGGAGGTGGTGATCGTGGAGGACCCTGGGATGCCTGCCCTGTGCTCCTGCCCCGCCTGTGAGGAGAAGCTGGCGCTGCCCACTGCAGCCCTATATGGGCTGAGGCTGGAGAGGGAGGCTGGAGAGGGGTGGGCGGGCGAGGCTGGCAAGGCTCTCCTGCACCCGGTGCGGTCCGGGCACCCACTGCCCCTGCTGGTGCCTGCCTGCGGGCATCACCACACCCCGATGCCCGACTACAGCTGCCTGAAGCCACCCAAGGCAGGCGAGGAAGGGCATGAGGGCTGCTCCTACGCCCTGTGCCCTGAAGGCAGGTATGGGCATCCAGGGTATCCTGCCCTGGTGACATATGGCTATGGAGGAGCCGTTCCCAGTTACTGCCCAGCATATGGCCGGGTGCCTCATAGCTGTGGCTCTCCAGGTGAGGGCAGAGGGTATTCCAGTTCCGGTGCCCACTCCCCACGGGCTGGCTCCATTTCCCCGGGCAGCCCGCCCTACCCACAATCCAGGAAGCTGAGCTACGAGATCCCTGCAGAGGAGGGAGGGGACAGGTACCCCATACCTGGGCACCTGGCCCCCGCAGGAGCCTTGGCATCTGCAGGTGAGGGCACTGGGGTGGGGAGTGCCCGGGGAAGAGGAGGGTTCTGGAAGATGGTGGGGGAAGGTGCAGAATGAGAAAGAGCTAAGCCAGACAAAAGGGACTTTTCTGGCTCACGGCCCCTTCTCCCACCTTCCCTACAGAATCACCTGAGCCAGCATCCTGGAGGGAGGGCCCCAGCGGGCATAGCACCCTGCCTCGGTCTCCCTGTGATGCTCAGTGCAGTGCCTCTTCTGAGCTGTCTGGTCCCTCCACGCCCCTGCACACCAGCAGCCCAGTCCAGGGCAAGGAAAGGTATACAGAGGGGCCGGGGCTGTTCAGGCACTGAAGCTGGGGGTGGGGGCAGCTCACACGGGGCCTCCGCAGCCCTACCAATGTACTGACCACCTGCCCGCCCTCCCAAACTGCAGCACCCGACGGCAGGACACCACGTCCCCCACCTTGGTGCCCACTCAGAGACTAAGTCCTGGCGAGGCTTTGCCGTCCGTTCCCCAGGGAAGCGCCGAAAAGGCTCCCGAGCTGCCAGCGAGAAGCGGGCTTGAGCTTCCAGCCCCTGGCCCCTTCTCCCCCACCTCCCCGCCCAGCTCACCCAAGGACTGGCCTCAGGAGAAGAGCCCGGGGAGCCGCTCAGACAGCGCCAATCCGAGGGGCCCCGTGCCCACCACACTGCCTGGCCTCCGCCATGCCCCCTGGCAGGGACTTCGAGACCCCCCAGATAGCCCGGATGGGTCCCCCCTCACCCCTGTGCCTACCCAGATGCCCTGGCTTGTGGCCAGCCCAGAGCCGCCTCAGAGCTCACCCACGCCTGCCTTCCCCCTGGCTGCATCCTATGACGTCAACGGCCCTACCCAGCCCCCACTTCCCGAGAAACGCCATTTGCTGGGACCTGGGCAACAGCCAGGACCCTGGGGCCCAGAGCAGGCATCACCACCAGCCAGAGGCACCAGTCACCATGTCACCTTTGCACCTCTGCTCCCGGATAATGTCCCCCAACCCCCAGGTATAAAGGCCTTGGGGAGGGTGGGGCCCCCTTGGGAGAACCCTGTCTGCCAAGGAGGGGCATGGCACGGGCACTGGGAAGCACTGGGGCCAAGCTCGGTCCCTCCCTGTCCTAGAGCCCCCTATGCAAGAGAGCCAGAGCAATGTCAAGTTCGTCCAGGATACATCCAAGTTCTGGTACAAACCACACCTGTCCCGTGACCAAGGTGAGAAGGCAGCCTGCCCCACCCCTCCCGTTTTATGGCCCCTCTGGGGCTCTGTCTTGGCTTAAGGACCCATCCTTCAGTTAACACCCTTGGTGCCTCCTCCCTGTCTCAGCAGGTTTACCCCAGGCAGTCTCTCACTAGCAGGTGGTTCTGGGCTCTGGGCCCACGGAGGTTTCAACTCAACACTGTCAATACCCTTTTAACTCTGAAGTTCCATCCCCAGGTGCCCCAAAACACCACGGCTGTTAGGGTGAAAGGCCTAGGGAGCTTGGGTAGCAGAGGTAGAGAGGGGCTACGTGGGGCTCAATCCACCACTGTGAAAACTTCTCCCACCTTCCCCCAGCCATTGCTCTGCTGAAGGACAAGGACCCTGGGGCCTTCCTGATCAGGGACAGTCATTCATTCCAAGGAGCCTACGGGCTGGCCCTCAAAGTGGCCACACCTCCACCCAGCGCCCAACCCTGGAAAGGTAAAGAATGCCCACACCTGGGGGAGAAGGGGAGTGGAGTGGGGGGGAGGCACCAGAGACAAGACAAGGCAGGGTAGGCCATGCCACTTCTTGGTGGGGAGAGGCAGGAAGTGACCTCTCCGGCGCTGGAAAGAATCCCAGCACAGGAGAAAACTGGAATCTGCAATCTGATAAAGTCTATTTCTTCTCTCCTCTCCACCCGGCCTCCTCCCCTTCCCTCAGGGGACCCCTTGGAACAGCTGGTCCGTCATTTTCTCATTGAGACTGGGCCCAAAGGGGTGAAGATCAAAGGCTGTCCCAGTGAGCCCTACTTTGGTGAGGCACAGGGACCAAGGGGGTCTCAGGAGGGTGGAGGGAGAGCTGGGGAGGGGGGGATACCTGTGGCCACCTCAGGGCTTCTGTCACCTCCCCCTGCAGGCAGCCTGTCGGCCCTGGTGTCCCAGCACTCCATCTCCCCACTGTCCCTGCCCTGCTGCCTGCGCATCCCCAGCAAAGGTGGGTGCTTGTGATCTGCCCTCCCGCCTCTCCTCACCTGCTGCAGCCCAAGGCAGCGTCCCCAGGTCCTGGCTCCCAGCCTGCCTTCTCTTGGGACAACAGAGTTCTCCAGCGCCTAGAGAACGTGACTCCCTGCTGACCTTCCCTGTTGGCCCTCATTGCCCCCAGATCCTCTAGAGGAGACTCCAGAGACCCCAGTGCCAGCCAACATGAGCACAGCAGCCGACCTCCTACGTCAGGGTGCCGGTAGGACCTCTCCCTCCCTTCTCTCCCTGGGTGCAAAGTGGGGTCCTACGTGTGCAGGCACGGGGCACTGAAAGGCCCTGAGGTGGGTGGGCCCCTATATTTGCAGTGGGGGTGGGAAAGGGGGTCCTCAGTCTAGGACCTCAAATTCATGAACGTGAAAATCTTTGGAGGGAGGCTTGTTAGAATGCAGATTGTCAGGCCTCTTTCAAGCATTTCCGACTGTAGATCTGGCAGAGTCGCAGAATCTGCCTTTTTAACAAGTGACCCCGATTCTAATGAATTTTGAGCAGCACTGGCTGGGGAAGGTGCAAGAAAGAGCTGGCGGTGTGGGGCGATAGGGGAAGACAGACTTGGGTGCTGGCAGAGCCGGCGCTCCCCTGCAGCCCTCCCTTGCCCTCATAGCCTGCAGTGTGCTCTACCTGACCTCAGTGGAGACAGAGTCACTGACGGGCCCCCAAGCGGTGGCCCGGGCCAGCTCTGCAGCTCTGGGCTGCAGCCCCCGGCCAACCCCAGCCATCGTCCACTTCAAGGTCTCAGCCCAGGGCATTACGCTGACGGACAACCAAAGGAAGTGAGTGTGTCCGCCCAGCCCCTGGGGGACCCTAGGGACCCCCGGTTCCGGTTGTGACTTTCCCCACGATCCTCCTTGCAGGCTCTTCTTTCGCCGCCATTATCCAGTGAACAGCATCACCTTCTGCAGCACTGATCCTCAGGACCGGAGGTGAGCCTCCCTCTCGACCCTTTCTTTGCTCCCATAGCCCCACGCTCCCATCAGGTTCCCCCAGACCAGAAAGTCCCCTGCCCCAGCCCTCCTCCTCCGGTAGCCAGACCCTAGGTGCATTCCGTCACGGTTCTTCTTTTTCTGCAGATGGACCAACCCCGACGGGACCACCTCCAAGTAAGCCTCCCCACGGGTGCCTCTCTTCCCTCCCTGGGACAGAGGCGCTGCCTTCCTCCCCACCCCTGGCTTTGCAGTCCTTTGTGGAAGGCATGCTGAGCCCCCTCCCCACCCTGCCTCTGTGCTCCTAGGATCTTTGGTTTCGTGGCCAAGAAGCCGGGAAGTCCCTGGGAGAACGTGTGTCACCTCTTTGCAGAGCTTGACCCGGATCAGCCTGCCGGCGCCATTGTCACCTTCATCACCAAAGTCCTACTGGGTCAGAGAAAGTGAAGGAAGGCCACAAGCTCAGAGCCCACTTCAACACCGCGCACCTCTCAGCACCTCACAGTCCTCACTTCCCCTGGCCTGGGCCCGGGAGACCCAGGAGCCAGCCCCTCCCTTAGGAATGGGGAGTGGGCATCAGCCTGGGACACTGCTCTCCTTCCCTGCCCCCAGCCTGCTAAGCCAAGTGGATGGGCCTGTGAGATGACCTTGCACGTGAGCAGATGGCAGAGATGGGTATGTGAAGGGTGAGGAGGCATGAGCGGTTGAGCCCTGGAGGGGATCTGGACAGCCCCACCTGCACGAGAAGAGAACATCAGCCCAGAGGGGAAAGCGGGCCTGCCAGCTCCACCCAGCTGCAGGTCCCAGCCTGGCAGGGAGAGGGGGAAGAGGTGTGGGGAGCAAGGCACACCCTCCTCCGCCTCCCCCTCTGAGCAGAGAGATCAGAGTGGGATCACATGGAAAGGGGGGGAAAGAGTCTATTTTTGTCTAATAAAGAAATTCTATAACATTTACTCAGAATTGGAGTTGTACCTTGTTCATGGGAAGGTCAAAGCATCTCCTCGGGGCACTTGGGGGCTTCTTGGGGGCATCCCAGGTCCACGAAATGTACACAATCCCCACCCTTGGCCTCACATGGGTCCAAGTCCCCCTCAGCAGTCCCCAACTCTAGCCCTGGCCCCAGCCCTATGGACTGGAAAGGATTCCCTTGTCCAGGCCATCCTGATAAATACAGAAACTCCATCTTTATTGGCTGTATAAACATCTCTGGGCTGTACATACATTTCATACATCGTAGTGGAGGGCCGAAGGGGGGACACCAGCAACACAGCAGCTCGCCCCCTTTCCCCAAGGCCCACCCACTCTGTGCAAACCAAGGCTAACAGCTCCCGCTCCCTCTTCCTCCCAGGAGAAGTCACTGTATGGGAAGGGGGTCAGGGGTCGTGGCGGCGGGAGACAGGAGGGCTTGGTAGGGGAGGACGTATGTAAGTGCTAGAATCAAACACTGAAGCAAAACAGGCAACTGGCACGGGCAGCAAGCTGGGACACGGGTGCAGCAGGGAAGGGGAGTGAGGGGCCGAGCCGCCTTCTGCGCTTGCGACCACGGCTCCGGGTCTTGCCTTCACCGTGCATCCCAGGGAACTAGGGAAAAGGGTACCACGGGTGTCCCAAGGATGGCAAGGAGGGGATGGGAGCAGAGGCCCCAGGCCCCCTCACTTGGCAGCCCCTCTCTCACTCCATTCAACACGTAACAGGCACCCGACTGTGTGTACAGCTGCGGGGAGCCAGAGACTCAGATTCTCTGCGGGACTACGGTGCCTAAGCAGGCAGTGAAGGAGAAAGCAGGCTCTCAAGGGAAAGAACAGAGACCCTAGAGTAGTCTTCCTGGGACAGCAGTCAGTGGAAGGAGAGAGAGGGCCCAACAGAGCCCCCCGAGCCCAGCCAGGGGGATAACAGCAGCAACTGGTTCACAATGAGGACAGGGAACAAAAAAGGGAGATGCAACGGGAAATACTGTGATAAATAGAGGAGGGGGATGTCTCTACTCCACCCCCTGCAAAGCCTCATGCCCAAATAGCAGCTGAGACAGGGTGCTCACTCCTCTCCACTCCTATGGCCGGTGGGGAAAGAAACGGTGCGGGAGTCCACCAGCCAAAGCAAGCGGGACCCACCAATATACCAATTCCATTCTTAGGGCCTGTTCCTGTCCAACCAGGGACTCAGGTCCAGGACTGACTGATGATCGAGGTAGCACCAGGTCAGAAACATGGGCACACAGGAGCTCGGCAGGGGCCTGATCTGGGGGGAGGCGGAGGGACTATGAACTCCCCGGGGCCTGCTGGGTAAGCAAATCCTTGGGGAAGGCAGGAACTGGGCACCCGGTTCTGCAAAGGGCGAGGAAAAGGAGACGGGGCAGGTCTAGGGAAGAAGCCCCTAGCCACTCAAGGGATGCAGATCCACTTTGACTTTCTCCCCACAGCTCAGCATTCCAATGGTGGGGAAGAAGCCGCCAGAAGGTACAACAGCATCCTTCTTCCCGATGATCTTGCCGTTCCGAGTGAAGAAAACCTGGGGGTGGAGGCATGTAGAGGAGTGGAGCAGGTGGGCTCTAGCCTCTTCTGATGATGCTACTAGAGCCACACAGGCCTGAACCCCAAGCACTGCCAACTCCCAGAAGCCCTCTTGGGGGGGGGGGGGGGGGGTAGAGACTTAGGGTGATGTGGGAAGTGACCACAAGGGGGCGTCTGGAAACCAGCTCCCCACCAGAGTCTGGGCAACGTCCAGCACCTCAGAACAGAACACGCCCACGGCCAGGCCTTCCCCTCTTCCCTGCGTTGGCTGGGGGTCCTATTCCCCAATGATGCCAGCCCCTGCCCAGGCCCAAGAACCCTAGTCCAACGCCACCCTGTCCCCACTCACCACCACCTTCTTGCCCTCATGCTCCTGCTCAATCTCTTCTCCATCTTCTTCTTCTTCCTCTTCCTCTTCTTCCTCTTCTCCCTCCTGGTGCAGGTACATGACATTCCGGACATTCCGGACGGCTCGGGCAGTTGGGGACAGGATCACTGTGTCACAACTGTCATCACTGTCACCTAGGAGGCCAGGAAACTGAGCTCCCGTGGTACTGCCCCCACCATCTGCCTGACCAGCCTGGTCAGCCACCCCCACCTACTCACCCTCACTGTCCAGAATGTAGTCCCGGGGGAACATGATTCCACAGCCCATAATGTCTCCTTTGTAACAGCGTGGCCCGAAGGGGTCCCCCACACCACTGCCGTGGAAGATCTTCCCATCATCTGGGGGGGGGGGGGGGGGGGGGGGGG